AACTGGCCATCAGGCTGGAATAGGAGCTGACAGGAATTGCAATTTCTCCTGAGACAGTCACCAATTCGATGTTTCACATCTGTCTAAAAGCAAACCTAAACAACCTATTGTAAGAGCAATGAGGAAAGAGTGTGCTGAGATTCCTCCCTGGATTGCATCCACTTCAACCAACCTATGATATTGTGCTAAAACAAGTCAAGAACACTGGGAAGTGTTGGTAGTTGATATCCACTGTATATCACATTGTTAACATCCACTCCTGGGTTTGTCTTGGATAGAAAAAATCTCTCAAAGGACATCTAGCAACTATCACTATACTGGTCATATTGGCAATTAGGGGATCTTGTGCAAAAAACATATCCATGACAACTGCAATAAGAGATGCAAAAGGAAAGTCTGGATTGGCAAGTTCCAACATTTGCAAGCAGGTTAGAGAAAAAGCCACAAACAGCACATTACAGGAAGACCAAAGTGAGTGCAAGAAGTCAAAAGGCATTTTTGAACTGGTTACCTTTACAACATACAATTAACTTAATCATATATAATTAATCGATTCATTGACTTATCTATTTTTCACTTAGTTGTCTATTTTAATTTGTATGCTCAAGGTAAAAATGCAATTAGTTGAAATCAAGATAATCTCTAGTTGAAATATCGACATCAATGTTAATTGTGTGCGAGTACTTGTGAAGCGAATGCCATTAAATTGCACCACAGTCTTGAGTATTTCATTGTGTGTTTGATTAAGATTTGATACAGATGCTTTCAATCTCTTCCTATGGCTTACTTTTATAACCTAGACTTGCAAGATTTTCTTCAGTTCCATTAAGCATTTGGAGGGGCAAACACAGCTGTCAAAAAAAAAACAGCCTAAACCAACTCAATATTAAGAATTAGAAGTAGTGACTGCAATAGAGCATAACGACATGACAGACACTAAAGTCACCACTAGCAAAATCTTTGGAACATGCGCTGTATTCACTCTTGACGATGAAGTGTTCTTTCTGCATGTGGCACAAGAGAAAACCTTGACTTAAAGTTGATGACCATCATAAAACTTGGTGCAAAGCAAGCCAAATTAGTTTTCAAGATGTGTTTTAAATGATATTGTTTTCAATGAGTCAGAGACTGTACAGTTAAGAGCATGACTTGAATTTTTCTTCAGAGCATTAGCTTTCACTTAATGACCAAATGTACAAGTAGCCTGACATTGAATTATCTTTCTTCAATACTAATTTAGTAACAAAAAGACTTTTTACTTTTTTACCATAAAATGGAGAGTTTTGTTGATAAACAGCCGAATAGTTTTACACACTGTGAATAACAATAATTGCATCATAAGTGGTGTAAGATATCCCTGTATCCCTCATAAACAGGGCAAGATTAAGTTACCACTGATAGTGGCTCCTGGTTTGATAGAAATAAAGTGTTGGAAGCACCAGTGCATTACAGGTTGTTTCAAATTGGAAAAGATTCACAACACTGGGAAGAAGTAGGCAGTAGTAAGTAAACAGGTCATTTACAAAATCGTTTTGGTCTATTTTAATCTTCTTTGGGACTTTTCATCCCATTCTTATTGACTTTTTGTGTCAGTGTGTTGCAACTAGACACCCTGCAAGAGCTGTGAGATTGCATAATTGCTTCATGTAGGACAAAACAGCTTTTTTAATGATAGGTTGATATTTTGATGAAAGATCTGTCCTGTTCAGTTGGAAATTCTTATTTGGTGAGCAAAACTCTTTAAGCAGATGAGATATTTGGGACCACTTTAATTCTAAAAAGCAAATGTTAAAAGAAAATTATTATCAATTATTGTAGACTGTTTAAGGAGGGCCCAAGGTGCCGACGCAAGGTTTCTTCGGTGAGTAAACTGGTCTTTTCTACGTTAATGATACAGAATGGACTTTTGATCACACGCACAACATTTCACCTTTATAGTCAACCTATTGTATTTTACTCAGCATCATTTTTCTTTTGAGCAACATGCGGTCAGCCCTACACAGCCAGTATATTGGCTCATATACAAAAAAGTAGGATTTATATTTTCCTTTGTTTTCAATTTTTAAATCATTTGTGTTTGTTTAGTCTCCATTTCATTTTATGGGCCTAAAATTGTAACACCCCAAATATGATTGGAATGTCGTAAATTACAACCTTTTATCTATCTTGCCTCCTTCTCTATTAAGTTCTTGAGTAGTCTAAATTTGTTTTAGTTTAGATTCTGATTGAGTCAAGATACTCTCCTGTGCATAATTTTCTTAGAAAATTCAGAACTCGTAGTTTAATGTTAAATTGACTATCAAACAACTTCTTTGAAACTACTTTGGTACACCAATGCACCCACTTACATCTAATAAGAATTTGTTCCAAGTGGACTTAAATTGCAGCAAAGCTGTAAGCATGTAATTATCTAATAATACATTTATTTCATTTTGCACATATACAGTGCGGACCTTTTTTTTTTTTAAATATATTCCATGGCCTGCATGTATAATCAAATAAAAGGTTCCATATCTGTAAAACAATCATAGAATTAGGTCACTTTAACCCTTGGTGTTCTTGAAAAGTCTCTTTTGTCAAATTCCATTACTTTAGAAGCCATGCACATCAAATCTAGAATCTACCAGGTCAACCTCAAAAAAAAAGTTCCAAAAGACAAGAGAAAAAAACATGGGCATTATCCAACCAATCAGATAGGACTTCCACATTCAAAATTTCAGAAACCAATTTAATCTCAAAGCACACATCAGCCACCCACCACCATCAAAAAAACATACCACTCCTGACCTAAGGGAACAAAATTTTTTGTTGAAATGCTGATGTGCCATTCCAGAAAAAGGTTTAAAATACCCAACAGTCAAAAGTTATTTCACCAAAGACTCAAGCCAACTTAATACCAAACCCAACACAACATGAAGCAAACCATGCCTTGCACCTGGAAAGCACCCACATGTTTTCAAAATAGTCAAAATACAGAACCTCCACTAACTCAAACTCCCAAGGGAAACAAAATGGTTTGAGTTAGCAGGGGGTTCAAGTAGGTTTCAATTGGTTGTTGCTTCTCATGTTTAATTCTTTTTTATTTTGGTGTAACGACTCGTTAAGTTAGATTTAAATCTTGCAACTTACCACGTTTCATTTCCACTGTCAACAGGAGTTCCTCGTACAAGAGAGCATTCCATGATTATTTATCCAATATCGCCAGATTGTTTTTTTTTTGCCTCAGTAGAGGATGTGCAGTGCAATGCTGATGAATCATCTTAACTGGAGAATTATACACATTTGTAAACAATGGAACTTTAGTATCTGGCCAAAAAGCCATTTGGCTTTATGTAGTAGGAAGTAACAACCCTGTAAGAAGTGGCTGTCATGACTATATATCATAGTGTAATCATAGTTTAAATTAGTATCTCTTCTGTGTTTCAGAACTTACTTTATCATCAGCAGAAACCATTATCTTGGTATGGCTGGACAAAGCAACCATTAATGATTTCCACCTTATCAAGGATCTACAACCCAATTGCTAAAACTCAGTCTGAAACTACTCAGGAACAAAGACAAAACTTCTACAGACACAACAGCACACACTGTAAATGCGATTAAACAACAAGTTAAAAGCAAAGAAAATAAATATCTAAGTATATGCTTTTCCTAGTTGCACAGAAAATACATACATAAAAAAGAAAAAGTCAGCTAGTGCAGGAGAAGAGGGGGAAAAAGTAACAAATATGCATTTAAATTGTTTACCACACATTCTACACTGTGCAAAATTGCACATGCATCCCTATAAGAAACTTACTGTTTCACATGGCTTGCCTGGTTCTCAAGTGGTTATTTTACATTTGTGGTTCAATTAAGTAAACAGTAGAGCAATTTTAAAGCTATAAGGAAATCAGACATGTTCATATCACAAACGATTTTATGTTCTTGTACAAAGACTGGAAACATTGACAGAACATTGACTACAAAATTAATTTATAACAAGTCCAGTCTTGAACCCTGTGTACATTGGTGTCAGCCAACATCTTATTGCACCTATTAACTGTTAAAATTTTGCTCAATGAATATCAGATTGAATTTTGGTTATTTGTTCTTTACAGGGTTTCTGATCAGTGGGCACTTGTTATTAAAAAGCTTAATCACGTTATAAATTGGTTGGAACATGGGCACCAACACGTGCAACCCAGTTTTGTACCACTGCCATAAAAAAGGTGACATTAATCTTAAGTTAATGTACATGTACTTTTAAGTTGTTCAAAATGTAAACATACTGTTAGACTGTAATTCTGGAATGTTTTTAGCTAAATGAGATTTCTTTGTATTGATCAAATTATGGCAAATGAACAACTTTCTTTATGTTTGATTTTTTTTTTTTTGCTTTGACACATTTTAAATAGCAAGATCAAATAGCTTACTAAATGATTAGCTCCTTTGTTTCCTTCATGGAAGTAATTACTGTTGTAGCTTTATTTCCAATTGTTCAAGTCTGCAGAAAATGTTGACCAGGTCGAGCCATAAATACTGATCTGAAAAAGGTTGATGAGTGGTATGAATTCGATCAAATGAAAAGAAATCATTCAGAATATCAAGCCATTACTTTTGGAAGGGTCGAGAGAAATCCTGTGTTGATCTGTGAAGGTACCGTTATCCCTATTCAAGATGAAATGGAACTCCTTGGCATTACTATCCACAACAAGCTTAGTTTTAAGGGACAGATTCGTAAAATCTGTCGTAAAGTAGGTCAACAGGTTGCTGATCTCAATCATCTGAAGAAAATATTGCCTTTTGAACTGAGGATACATGTACATCATGCTTTCATTGCACCGCATTTCAATTACTGCTCAGAGTCGTGGCATCACTGTGGTAAAAGAGGTTCTGATAAACTTGAAAAAGTCAATGAACGAGCCCTTTGCTTTGTGATCTGTGACAAGTCAACCACATACAAAACGTTGCTAAAACAACTAAACCTGCTGTCTCCATTTAATCAAAGAATTGTTAAAATGGCCACCAGTGTCTACAAAGCTATCCATGGGTATAAAGTCCCAACAGGAATAGGAGAGCTATTGCATGAACGATCAACTAATTATAATCTTAGAGGAAAATACATCCTTGAGCTACCCAAAGTAAATACAAAATAAAATCAGAACATTTAAGAACTCGATGTCTATGTTTGACTTCTCCAATTTTACATTTTAATTGTGATTTAATTGTATAAATATATTTTTATAGAGGTTTTTATGAGAAATCTTCTCTTTCTATTATTATTTCTAGTTTATTTATTTCCTTTTTATGGCATGTGTGTAAAGTAGCTAATTAGCTAAGAACATTTGACCACGTTAAATAAAGATTGTTGTTATTGTTGTATTGTATTTCCATTGCAAAAAACCAAAAATTACACAATATCGTGACTGCTGCCCTTAGTTTGAGAGATGACTAAATGTCAAATACAATGCAACCTTGAAGTAATATGTTATTGCTGTATTTTTTTTTGGCAGTTACATGTGTCTTGTACATTAATTGTTTGGTTCTAATACTTGGTCACAATACATAATTGCTTAATGATTTCAACTTAAGATAACACAGAGCATCACAGAGGCAGAAGTAGAAATTATTACTAAAGGATGCCAGCAGAAAGCCCTTCAAATGTGGCAACTTTGGTAAGATAAAGTATCATAGTCATTAAAAGGAAAACCAAAATTTAAAGAAATGATTGGAGTTAAACTGTTCTTCCACTGGAGGGAAATTATTTTGAATCATATCTTCTCAATTCCAGCATTCTAGAAAAAGAAATGTTTTCATACTCCTCCCCTTCCCCCTAGTTTCTCCTAGTGTTCATACACAAATGCAGCCTTGAGCTAAGGACTCAGTCTACAAAACTCTTTAACAGTCATAGACTGCTAATCACTTTTTTTTTTATCCCTTTTACAAGGTGAGATGGCAGCTTTGAGAGATAGTGAGAGCGAGAGGGCATGTTTTTAGGGTTTACTGAGGAAGATCAACAATCCATTGCTGAGTTAAGACAAGGAGGAATTGCAGATAGACATGAGAGTGACTCAGAGTAAGATATTTCTGTCTCTTCTGTAGCAACTGAAGACCTTTCAGACTTCACAGACTCCGAAGGAGAAGAGATCGAAGAAACATGGAATGTCAATGAAGACCCCATTGAGGTTTTGCTATTCTCTGTGGCCACTGGCCCAACTTCTGGTGTCGCAGAGAATGGAACTGCAAAAAATATTTTTAATTATTTAATGTTTCAGAATACCTTATAGAGCTTATTGTCACCAAAACAAACTGCTAGACACAAGTGCGTATTACCATAAAGCCAGACCAGGAATGGTTCGAGACAATACTCCATGAAATGAAAGCCTTTATCCGTCTTCACATACTCTTTGGCATCAAATAGTTGCCTGCAAAGCAAAGATCCACTACTTGGTGCTCCAGCAGTACAAAATGTAATGTCAAGTAATCGCTTTGACAAACTCTCCAAATACTTGCAACTAAATAGCAGTGCAAATCAAGTGCCTTATAAAAATCCTGCACATGACAAGCCTTTTAAAGTACAATCAGTTCTTGATCATGTCATTCAGAATTGTGAGATATAACTGAAACCAGAAAAGGATTTGTCAGTGGATGAGGCCATGGTAAAATTCAAAGGACATTTAGGTAAGGAACAGTACATGCTGCTAAAACGAGTAACTCAAAGTGTGGGTTTTAGCCAAAGCATCTAGTGGCTTTGTTTGTAACTTTCATGTGTACACTGGAAAAAGACATGATGGCGCTGCAGAACAGAACTTAGGTTAGTGTTGGATGTTCAAACTTGGAACTTGATAGGAAAGAATCACCATGTCATTTTTGACAACTTTTTCTCTACCGTTAAGCTTGTGGAAGATCTCTTGGAGGACGGCATGTATTCCAACGGTGACAAGAAAGGGGAAGTGATCTACTTGGGCAAGAATCTGACGGACTGTGAGCTATTTCGAAGAAAAGGTCTGTTATTATGTTCCTTGGACTCTTGGAGAGCCCTACTTGGATAATAATCGGTTCTTTTTCCTGGACAATTTCTTCACATCTGCTGATTTGATGTGAAACTAGCAAACAAGACACATCTACGCTTGTGGCACCATTTGCACTAACAGGAAAGACTACCCTTCTGACTTGAAGTGAATGAAGCTAATTCTAGGCAAAGTGCGAACCTGTCAGATAGGGAATTTAGTTGCCACAATGTGAAGAGACAGATATGTCATGTCTCCAGTATCGACCAACACTTCTCCTGAGCCAGAAATTCATTCAATGCAGCAAGTCATTCACAGGCGTCAGAGACAAGTTGTCCCACCTGATGTGATGAAAAATGTTGTGGATCTTATTATGGAGGAATGAATGGGGTCGATATAAATGATGAGTGTCTAAGCTATTATCCACCTAGGACAACTTCTCGCAAATGGTGAAAGTACTTGCTCTAGTTTTTTGTCAACTTGTTGCTGGCGAATGCACACATCCTAGAGAAACTAGCTGGCCAGAAGAAGTGATCCTAACTTGACTTCGCCAAGAATTAGTGAAGCTTCTTATTGCTCCCTACAATGGATATAAACGTCCGTCTAATTTTGAAACATGCGCTGTGACAATGAAGGAAAACTTAAGTGGCCATTTTCTGGGGAAACTGGAGGGCAGAAAGAAAGCTTGTGCTATGTGCCCAAAAGTTGGCTGAAAAAGTAATGAAGGCAGCACATTCAAAACATCTTATGCATGTGAACAGTGTGACGTTCCTTTGTGTCACCAAATGTGGGGTGAACAATCATGTTTTGCCGAGTGGCATAGTGGAAATTTGTAAGAAATAGAACCTTTAAGTGGTGTGCTACAGTCATTTTAGAACAATTTGTGATCATAGCATTTTTTAATTGTAAAAACTATAGGTACAAGTCCCGCTTCGCAAGCAGGTATGGATGAAAACAACAACCCTGATTGTTGTTGTTCGAAAAAAAAAATTATTGTTCACATTTGCTGCGAGTGAACAAATATGCATTGTTGAAAGTGAAACTTTTCATTTAGGCATAAAAATTGGTTTCTTCTTACTGTTGACTCACAAAAAATAATTTTACAGCTGCGCCTTGTGACATGTTGTAATATGGCAATGGTGGCAAATTCAAAATTGACCCAGGTTAGAAAGCTGAGGATCCTTTTGTTGAGGAGAAATTTGTGATGTTTTTTGGTGTTGTATTTTAGGGAAAGCATTTATGTGATTCTTATGGAATAAGAGTACAAAAAAGAGCTATCATAATGATAAATACTTTTTTAAGCTGAAGGCAACCCTGCTAACAACTCACTGTTCATCATGAAGTTGAGTCAGTTCTCTAGCTTTAGAATTGTTTTTGAGAGAGCCTGATGCTCAAGTTGAAAATGAAATTTGATAGGGAAAAAGTACATCATGTAACATGCAACTTTGTGAAATTTCCCCTTCAGTAGAGTAAATTGTAGACATCAAAATCTTAAATCAGTTTAGCAGCGCGTGTGTTCACTGTGGCAGCCATTTTCTCTGGAATTTCAGGGGGTGGTCTGAGCTCTAGGGGTGTGGAACTCGATGTGAGGCTGCAAATAACAGTCGGTCATGGGACAAATGTCCGGTAAATTTTGGGTTTTGACCGGTGAGAGCTGAGCCTGGTTGGATACATTACTGGGTATTTTTGCTGCAAAGGAAGTAAAAAATTTTTTTTTAAGTTTTGGCCAAATATGACACAAGTTTATTTTTTCATTTTATTCTGTACTTAGAATTAATTTTAACATGCAAAAATGTCAAGTTGAACTATAAACATACTTCATTGGTAAACCTAGGTGTTAATTTGCACATTTTGCAGCAGCGTCGTTTTCAACTGAAAAAATATAAAAATCTGAGCTCTAATGTTATTACTCGTTGTCTATAATTATCTGCAAGTGTTGTTTAAGTTGTAATTAGACCTGCGGTTAAAATGTTCTGCAAATCGCATACAGAGGACAAATCCTCACGTTTTTCTGGATGCAATCGCTTTCAAAAACTAGAAAAACTCAAAAACATAACCAATGCTTTTTTAGTCCATATGATTGCAATCCCGTTTTATAGCTCTTAACAGCCAATTTCAGTGCAGTCCCCAGACCCGCGCCACGTTTTTTTCCCAAAACATCATTTGCCTACCGATTATTCACCCAAGTGTACTGATAGTAAATAATTTTATTCCACAACTACAGCTGTTAATAGTATTTTTATCTAGCACGGATTGAACCCTTATGCAGTTAAGTTGTCCGAAATGGCTTTGCTTTGCTAAACCATCTGAATAAAATACCATTAAAACAAAAGGTAAAATAATCTTAAGCTCAGTGAGCCATAAGCATGTGGCACAACTTTTGTCTGGTTTTATCAACTTCGTACGAGGTTAAACTTCTGTAGAGATTTGTAAGCCATTCAGTTTTATCCACTTCTCAAACACAGAAGGCTTGAAAATAAAGTTTATGTCCCCCAAAATATTTTAAAAAGTCTCTTACCAAATTTGTGCAGGCATGAAATTTATTTATTGCTACTTTTATAGTGATCGCCTTAAATGTACGAATTAGGCATGCTTTGTAGTCATGACAACCTCCAATTCCCAAAATAACTTTCATTCATGGGAAACTTGTTATGTGGGAAAATACTGAATACACGTGTGATCAGGCGAATAAAGACAAAGTTTGATTTAAGAGCACGACCGTAGATTTGTGTTTTTGCCGGGGAAAAACATTCTTATTTCTCTCTTACGCTTCAAGTAACAGATCCAAACTCGAGAATCCCTTGCACTTATCAAGGTGTGATTGGAAGCAAATCTTCACCTGTAAAGAAAAGGCCCACCAAGGAGAACATAACCAATTTTTTTTTCAAAGGTTGATGGACTGCCCCAAAAATCAAGTAAAAGACCAAATGATGAGATGAGACCAGACTGATATGTAGAAGCAGGCTTGAAAGGTATCAGTGCCAAAAAGATGGATGCCAATCAGGGTAACTTTGAAGCTGCAGTGAAGCCTGACTCTGCTAAGATAACACCAAGAAAACTCACCTGTTCTACAGTGGAAAGGTGGAAAACCCAAGACCTGGTACTGTGCAAAGCAGGTTCTTGGCTAACCTATGATAGCGAGGAAACTAAAAGAGGACATCATTGTGCTGCACTTAAATGTACTGAAAGGTATGTAGTCAGTTTAAATCTGTGATTAAAAACAGACCCAAGTTCTCAAGAACCTTTATTGATGGCTCAAACAACTTTAAACTTACAAACTTGGTAGACCATGCCAAATCTGATATTCACAAAATAGCCTTTTCTCTCCACAATAAGCAGCAAGGTCAACTTCCATCCACAGCAAGCAACAGTAAACAGCAAAATCAACCAAAGTTAGAGTTTAATCTTAATTGAATTATGAAGCTTGGGATTGCAGAAGCAGTGGAAATGAGTCAATGGATGAGGTCATTTACACTATGTTAGCCACTTCCAAGATCCCCTCCAACAACACAGACTCCAGGCATCACAGCTGCAAGTGGTCAGTGAATGGCACGACATGCCTGACTACACAGTGCAATATTTGTCACCTTCTCCCCATTATAGAGCAATATGGTACAAGCTTTTCCACTCTTCAAGAGCTTTGGAATGGCAAAACATTCTGTTGTTCATCTGTTTACTCTTCACTCTTCCTGTATCCAATGTAGCCTTGGAGAGAATAATCAGCAACTTGGGAAGGGTAAAGACAGCCAAAAGAGCTTCACTCTCCCAGGGAACTCTTCAGGATCCTAAGAATCCAAGCTAGAGGACCACCACTGGAGAGTTATGACCCCTCAATGGCTGTCCAGAAGTGGGATAGAGCAAAGAGAAGACGACCAAACCCACAGCACAGGAAAGTGTACATCTAAAGGTCATCAACATCAAAATGTGTCCTTGTAAAGGAAAATTCTTCTGATAAAACCAGCTCGTCTGAAAAGACTCCCTTCAGAAATGAAAACGAAGACATAGACAGTCTTGCTCTCCATATAACACAAACTTTCTTAATTTTAGTTAATTCCGTTTTTTTGGTAGATGTAACAAATCCTTCTCTAGAAGGAACTGGAAGGATTTGTACTGAAATACTGAAAGAAAATGAAGTTAATGTCTCTATTTTTAAATTTCTAACGGCTTATAAATTTTTGTCCGACCAGACTGGCTTTTTGTCCAATCAAAACTTGTCCTTGGCCTGACAAATGACCTTACCTTGTCACTGGGTTAAATGTTTATTCTGTTTACAAGTGTGAGTATAAATTTATCAATACAATCCTAGTAGTTACTCTTTAAGGAGTTTTTCAGAGTTAGAAGACATTTACTTGAAAAAAAGAATTCTAGATTAACCACTCATCCATAGACAGTACTCAGTTCTATCCTTTGAGGACTCATCAGTGCAGCCCCGAGTCTGATTGAAAATAAATTGTGTGTCGTAAATGAGACTAAAGAGTCTGCTATGATCTGAAACTTCATGTTTAATTTTATAAAATCAACTTGATCTCCCTCTCTCACACCACTCTCCTCTTATGCTCTGGTCTCTCTCATTTTTGATCTATAATATGATCCTGTTGTTCAATCATCTGTCACTTATTGCAAAAAATCAACCAGAAATCAATTAACACTGAATCATCTCTCAAAAACCCTCCTGTTTTTTTTTTTTTTAAACAGAGAAAAAACACTAGAATGGCACACTTGATAAAATTTGAAATTCAATGAATGAAACAAAAAGTTAGTTCAGTATATCAGTTCAGTGTGCCCAAATATCTCTAATCAGCATTAATTTTTGCATCAAGAATGCCATAGTGAGCGGCTACCACTGCATCTCTCCTGGGCTTGAATGTCAGGGCTTCAGGGTTGAGTTGCAAAGGAGCCTGTACACTCTCCCGATCACAGGACAGCTCCGGTGGGTAAAGGTGTTGTACGGCCTGATCAAGTGTTTCTTCCCCACTTGAAGTTTGGCAGCTCGAACAATCCCATTTCATACTGAAATCAGATCTTCCAGGATTCCAATTTTCGATTTGTTGCAATTTTGTTCCTGGTCTTTGACAATGACAACCTCTCCTTTGCCCAAGGGTGTAGTTTGACCCTCGTGTTTCATTCGGTGTCGTTCTCTCAACCCTTGTAGATATTCAGTAGTCCACCTGGTCTACAAAGCCTGCTTGCACCTTTGCAGATATGTAGCTCTTCTACACCGATCAAATTCTCTTAGATGGTGTAGTTCCAGTTCTGGTAGCTGGTTTCATTGAAGAAATAGCAGTGAGTTAAGGGTAAGCATGGGTAACTGTATGTCATCTTTGACGTAACATAAAGGGTGGTTATTCAAAGCAATCCCACATCCAGTACCACTTCACATAGTTCTGTGCAGGTCAACATTCTGCATCCGATAGTCTTGTTTTGACCAGTCCGACAAGGCGCTTGAACTGTCCTTCCCACCAAGTGGCATGGCTGAGATTGAATTGCCACTAGATGTTCTCATGCGCTAGGTAGTCTTGTATCTTCTAGTCAGACATAACTTCTTTGGGCCACTTTCCAGTGCCAACAAAGGTTTTCCCATTGTTGGAATGTATCTTCTCCAGATGCCCATGGCGCATGATGAGCCGTTTTAAACTTCTTAAGAATTTACTGATTGCCAGGTTTGGTAGTTCTTTCAGGAATAATCCTCATGTAAGACTATATGTGTACAATGCAAGAAAGGCCTTTCCTTCTGTTTTGGCTCTGATATGGTATTTGATGGGCCCTGCAAAATAAACTCTGATAACCTTGAATGAGGTGCTCCCCTCTGTATGGTTAGTGGGTAGGGGTACTGGAGGCGGTGTCACCAGTGCCATAGGCTGAAAGTGCTGAGAACTTGTTTTATGTGTGCCCTTAAATTTGGTACCCAGTATAGCTCTTGTACTTTGGTCATAGTAAGGGCCACTCAGTGCAGTGTGGACATGTGATTGGTGAACTTATGTGTGAGAGAAAGGTGGAGTCTAGCAGAAAGATGGGTAATGGCCTTGAATTCTTCCTCTACACTCTAACATTCCCTCTTGGTTTCCTTGCACATTCAAATGTAAACAGTCTTCTTCAAATTTCCCACTTGAATTTGCTTGTTGTTGAGCTCACTTGATCCAGAATGACACTGTTTACGGACAGTTGTTATGTTGTGGAGGAATCTCCTGATCCAGGCACCGACTCACAAGACACGCAACAGCTCATGCTTCTCTAGCAGCTCATCAAAGGCATTGTTGTTCTCTGTTTTCCCTATCGCTAGAGCAAACAACTCGCACGTTTGTTTTACTTCTTCCACTTTTGATTCTTGAGTAGATGGCATGACAAGGTCAGGCAGCCATTCCTGCGGTTTGCAAACCACAGGATCAACTAACTAACATCTCCTCCCCAACTCCCCACATCCTCTGGGTTCTGTTCTGTTGGTACATGCTTCCAGTTGATTTGTTTTTCCTGGATCTTCTTCGTTTGATTTCCCACAAACTGTTTGTATTCACCGCTTGCACAGATCCAGTGCGGTGCTACTGTGCTACCCGGCCAATCATAAACATTTCTTGTGGGAAAACCCTTCAGGACTTCTTTGACATTTTGTAAGGGGCTATCCCACATGATCTTGGTGTCATGGGCATCTCTGTAGAGCATTTTCCAGAGAGGGTCATGGGTGAAACGAGACCAAGTGGATCTTAGATTTTTGTGACTTTTCCCAGGATCTCCCTTTTAGTTGGCTCAGCCATTGAAGTTGGACAGCTGACTTGAATTTTGTCTTTTTCTTTGTCCCATGGGACCCCAAGCAGTTTTAATTTGCCCTTTCTGGTTCCCAGTTGCTATTTGGCGTAACTCTGACTTTCTACATCTGAAGTCGCACCTTCAATTTCTAACTGTTTCCACTTGTTGGAAGGCCACTTGTGCAGCTTTAAAGTTGCCTCACCAAAGATTGTTGTGGCTGTCATCTTGATTTTGTAATGCTTGTTTTGTTGTCTCCCTGCTACTGATTAAATCATCTACATACATACTGCACTCTATCTCCTCTACTAGTTCTGAGTTAACCATTTTTTATCACTGTAGATGTTTCTTGGTAACTGCAGCCAAGAAGAATGGAGATGGTGCCAAACCAAAGAGTACTTGAGTGAATCATAAGGTTTCTGCTTGCTTGCTCTGAAGATCTTTTAACCAATAAAAGCAAAAGGCATCTTGGTCTTCTCTTTCAAACTTACAAAAATGCTTCTTTTAAATCGCCAGCTATTACCATGGGATAGAACCTGTTTGGAATCAACACATTCCAACACTGGCTCTGTAGTGGAGGGCCGATTTTGAGATAATCGTTGAGTGAGGGGACACTTGCATTTGCTCTTGCAGAAGCATCATGGACAATGTGCATCAATGTACATCATTGTAGAACTTTCTTCCGTCCTTGACCACCTGGACAGTGCGTTCTGCAATTCCTTGACTTCGCTGATTCTGGATAATGTTCTACCTCTCAAGCCCACCTTGCATCTCTAGCTTCTGCACAAGATTCTTGAGACATTTTAAACTTCCTGTGATTGGTTGGTTGGGGAGGATGATTCCCTTTCCAGGGAAGGCACGTCTTGTACCAGCCTGCTAGACTCCTGGTTAGTTGCTCTTTGAACTCTTTGTAAATGGTTTTCTGGTCTCCACTTGGATTGTCCTTAAGCCTCAAGACGTCTAGCTTGCACAATTCTTCGTAATCGATTGCAGAGGTCTGCGTTAAGAACATGTTGCCGAGATCCAACTCCATTCCAGGTGACAAGGATTGTCCAGCCAAACTTTGTATATTCTGCCACTGGTTCTCCCAAGCACCCAACTCTTGGTCTTGCCCCTGTTTTGATCTTAGCATACTCATTTGTTCCTAGGTTCAAATGAATGGGCAACATCGCCTTCTCGTCATTACAATTTGTGGTTATGCCCTTCAAATGAGAAAACTGTGCTACGATTTCTGTGCATTTTAGGTTTTCCAAGGTCAACAACTCTTTGCGGTTGTCCTTTAAGGTGAATTTGCCATCTACACTTCAAATTTGTACGTTATAGATGTCTATCGCTTTGTTTCAAGTACCAAACATCGTTTCAATACGCTTGAATTGTTGACGGGTAGGATAAATGTAAACAGTCCAGAAGCATTGAGGAACTGTAGGAACTTCCAGCTCCCGTATCCAACAATGCTCGACACTTGACACTATTCACGTCACCTGTGACCATGGAATATACCATTCCTTTTCTTTCTATGCTTGTTGTGGCCATCAGTTGATCTCACGATGTAGGTTTTTCGCAGATTGACATATGATGTCTTTAGCTGCAGATCTGGCAGCCAGAACAGCATTTGCGCTCAGCAGCACAGTGTTGACTTCCTGTACAATTAAAACACAGTTGTTTAGACCTAGTTGCTCCCTGCAGTCTCCGACTGTCACAAACTTCTTACAATTCACAGCTCTATGGTCAGTTGCATCACAGTAGACTCACCGTCTTTGTGATGGCATCATTTCGTTTGCATGAAATGTTTTTTCCCAATCAAGGAATTTAGCACCTTGCTCCCTGCATTATTCATGGTGCTCACAATAGGGTTGATTTCCTTCCAACTTTTCAAAGTTTTTATCAATCGTGGGAAGTCCCAGTCCTGCCAGTCTATCTGTCCTCTGACTAGATCTGCTTTTACGCCCTTTAGTTTTTCAAGCACAATCCTTGCATTTCCCGTCACGTCTCTTGATTTTCCCAGTATCTCCAAAGATTACACATTGAACACAAGCTTTTTGTCAAATTCATGGATAAGCGCAG